GTGGGCTGAATTGACAGACGGACAGACGCCCCGTCTGCTGAATTGACAGACAGACAGACGCCCCGTCTGCTGAATTGACAGACGCAGGCAGGGGGAGGGGAGTTGGCCTCAAAACAGCTGGCTTCGCTCAAGGAGGATTCCCGTCCCCCCACCTCCCGCCGCCGCCCCCCGGCCCTGGCACGTGGGCAGCGTGTTGGACACTTGGCAACTGCAACCACTCTGCTCGCCAGCTCCCAGCCGCCGGCCTCCCTGCCTCCTTAATTAGCTCAGGGGCAGCAACTTCATTTCCCTTTGCCAGGATCAGGAGCCGGTACCCTGGCATGTGCCAGACCTGATGGAGTGGAGAGGAAGCAGCCGGCACAGGCTGGGCACCGCCCCCTCACTGGGGCAGCCTCCCCATCCCACCCTCCCTGCACCCCCAGAACCTCTGCCAAGCTCAGTCCCTGGGCTCAGGGATTTGCATCTCTGTTAAGAGGTGGGTTCGGCTTCTTGAGATCAGGCTGTGCTGAGTGACATCTCCATTCTGGGAAGGCGATCAGCCTGGGGGAGGGGCTGAGTGGAGAAGGGAGAGGCAGGGGGTGGAGGCCAGCTCGACCCCGCTCCTTCTCTGCTGTGCCCTTCAGTTTCTAATGGGCTTGGATTCACTCTGCAGGAGAAACGGAGGTTCCTCTCCAATTAACAAGGGGCACCCCAGCCTGCACTGCCTGCCCAAACCTCTCTGCTGCCTCCACCCCGGGTCCTGCCCTTGAGGCATCTGGTCCTGCAGCCTCACCAGAGGGTGCTGGTAGGCCTGCAGATTCCCAGGCCCCAAAGCCAGCCATTTCAGCCCTGAGATTGGGAACAGGGCCTGGGAATCTGCCTGCTTAACAAGCCCCCGAGGTGCTCCTACAGCTGGAGGTCCAGGAGCCACCCTGAGAACCTTAGCGCCGCCAACCAGGGCGTGGCCGGGCTGGAAGGGACCCCGGCCTCAGCTCACCAGGCCCCTGGTACAGACAGGCGAACAGTAGAGGGACTGACCGCGGCAGCCAGCTGGAAGGGGCAGAAGAGGAAACTGAGGCTCCTGGGGCTCTCCTTCCTTCCAGAGGCAGGACAAAGTGACCTGAGGCGGAAGGAGCCCCAGGAGAGTTCATGTGGCCTGTCCCCTGCCCCTAATCGTCAGGGGCATGGGGAGCTGGCCCGAGGAGAAGGATGGAGGACCGAAGCCCCCTGCAGGTTAACCGTGTCTGTGCTTGTTTCCCCTCAGGGATGATGTAGAGAAGCCGTCTGACCTTGGCCTGTCCCAACCCTCAGGTGACCCTACGTGGTCCTGACTGGATCCCAGAGGCCCTGGTCTGAGGGGCAGGTGGTCCCCAGGAGACGGGGCGGGTGGGGGGGGCGTGGACAAGGATAGGAGCCAGGAAGCAGGACCGCAGGAGAGCAGCGTGCCTCCAGACCTCCTGCGCTCCGGGCCCCCCAGATACTGCTTCTCCTACATGCTGCTCACCCCTTGAAAGGCCCCATCTGCAAACAGGGCTGAGCAAATAAACACCAGGGAGTACCTGGCATGTGGAAGGCTCCCTGCTGTCTGTGAAAAGGGAGGGAGGGCGGAGAGGTGGGGCAGAAGGATGGGAGGGAGGAGGGACGGGGGCCTCTTTGTAAAAGCCGCTGGAGGAGCAGAAAAAAATGCTGAACTGGAAACTAGAAGTCTCGCATTTTTGTCTCTGCCCTCTCCTTAGCTAGCAACGCAACCTCGGACCTCCTCCCCTCCAGACACTCTGCTGAAGGGCGGGGGACTCTCTCCAGGCCTCGGGTGGACCCAGGTGCCCTGACATTAGCTTTGACATCCTAGGATTCCAGCCTTCTCACTGCCACGGGGATCTTCTCCGGAAACGGATGGCGTTTATGGCATCTGGTCTCCCTCCCAGGCTCCCTAGTGGGGCAGGGAGGAAGCATCACCTTCCAGCCCCAGGCAGGTGAGACTCATCAGTAATGACAGGGAATGATGTCAGGCTGTGTCTGAAGCCACCAGAGGCCCAGCAGCCTGCCGCACTTTGTCATAAAATATGTTGTCACCTGGGGAAGGACCATCACCGACGAAATATTTCAGGAGACAAAAACAAGAGGTGCATTGATTTTTCCATGAGGTCAGACAACTTCTGGGAGGCCTCTTGTAACTCAGTTGTCACGGGGTCTCTCCCTGAACATCCATTTAGCCTGTGATGTCAGCGGCCTCTGACCCAGGTGGGCTGCCTTCCCTGACCACAGGCTGCTCTTTGCAGAGACCAGCGCCATCCTCTGGCCTTCCCGGACTCTGCGGAGCAGAGATGACGCAGGTCCAAGGAAAATTTCCTCTCTGGACTCACCCAAAACGGTGCGGAGAAAGGTCTGCCATGGGGACTCCAGAACGGCCTCTGCTGATGAGCAAGGTTGGTCATTAGTTGAGTTAATGACTCATGCAGAAGCACCTGCCAGCCTCCCCGACCTCCACCCCCGTCTGCAAAGCTGAAGCCAGAGTGCTCTAACATACGAACAGTAAGAGAAAAGCTGAGGCAGAGTGAGGCCAGCAGATCAGGAGAAAACTGCCATTGAAAAGATAGTCTGTGACTCACGGTTCCCGAGAGGACGGGGCACGCCGGGCCATGCAGGGTCACATGGGAAAACACCAGAGGCAGAGAGGAGAAGTGTGGGCGAGAGCCTGTACTGTTTCCATGTTTCCATGGGGAGGGATGGGCGAGGCAGGGTGATCAAACTTAGGACTGGGCAGTTTGAGAAATTTCAGGAGGCTGTGGGGCATAGGGGCTGCCTTAGTCATTTGGTACCTGGCCCTGGGGTGATTAGGGCAGGTGTTCAGTGGCCCAGAGTGTGAGAGCCCCATAGAGGAGGTGGTTGGAGGCACGGGCTCTGGATTGGTCTGTTTGTATATAAAAACCACACTCAGGTGAGGGCTTCCCTGGTGGTGCCGTGGTTGAGAATCTGCCTGCCAATGCAGGGGACACGGGTTCGAGCCCTGGTCTGGGAAGATCCCACATGCCGCGGAGCAACTGGGCCCGTGAACCACAACTACTGAGCCTGAGCATCTGGAGCCTGTGCTCCGCAACAAGAGAGGCCGCGATAGTGAGAGGCCCGAGCACCGCGATGAAGAGTGGCCCCCGCTCGCCGCAACTGGAGAAAGCCCTCGCACAGAAACGAAGACCCAACGCAGTCAAAAATAAATAAATAAATTTAAATTCATTCTATTAAAAAAAAAAGCACACTCAGATGAGTTGTTTACAATCTCTAGAAATTGGCTAACCCTGGAAGGGTGTCTCTCCAGTACCTGCAAAGACCCAGATGTCAAAGCATCAGAAATCCACACAATAAAAGACATGGTTAATACACAGAGCTGAAGTGGCTGTCCTTTATTTGCAGATGGAAATTGGAATCTATACAATATGGCTGACACCTAAGCACACTTTCTAACCTTTTGTGGGTCACAACAGGTCCCTTTCAAGAATAGGATGGATGTCGGAAAAACAAACAACCCGAGACTTCGCAGGCAATCCAGTGGTTAAGACTCCGGGCTTCCGGGGCTTCCCTGGTGGCGCAGTGGTTGAGAGTCTGCCTGCCGATGCAGGGGACATGGGTTCGTGCCCCGGTCCGGGAAGATCCCACATGCCGCGGAGTGGCTGGACCTGTGAGCCATGGCCGCTGAGCCTGTGCGTCCGGAGGCTGTGCTCCGCAACGGGAGAGGCCACAACAGTGAGAGGCCCGCGTACCGCAAAAAAAAAAAAAAAAAGACTCCGGGCTTCCATTGCAAGGGGCACGGGTTCGATCCCTGGTCAGGGAAGTAGTTGTATGTCGCAACTAAAGATCCCGTGTGCCACAACTAAGACCCAGCACAGCCAAATAAATCAATATTTTAAAAAGAAAAAAAAAAAAAGAGTAAGCCCAAAGATTTGGGCGTGACCTGAGCTCTGGTTCCATGGTTGCCACTGACCAGCTACTGGACTTGGAGCAAGTTACTCTCCCAGTCTCAGCCAGCTCTTGGTTAAATAATAATGATAAGTCCTCCATGGTATAATGAAGAACATATCTGGTGTTTGTCCCCAGTTCCTGGCACAGAACTTCAAAAACTCTTGGAATTTTCTGAGTGATGGGAGAGTCTTTGTTGCTAATGAGATGACCCAATGGTAGGTTCCTAGATGGCTTCAGGATGGGAACTGGTCACCAGAAAGAAAAACCATGTGAATAGAGGGTTGAAACTTTGGACCCAAGGTTTGGAGAGGGGAGGGGAGGCTGGAGATTGAGTTCAATCATGCAATTAATGACGTAATCAAGCATACCTGTGTAATGAAACCCCAATAAAAACTCTGGACACCAAGTTCTTGATATGTTCTAGATATTAATCCCTTATCAGATACATGATTTGCAAATATTTTCTCCCATTCTGTACCTTTTCACTCTGTTGATAGAATCTTTTGATGCACAAAAGCTTTCAACTTCTATGAAGTCCAGCTTGTCTATTTCTTTTTTTGTTGCCATGCCTTTGGCATCATAAGAAGTCATTGCCAAACCCAATGTAATGAAGCTTTTGCCCTACGTTTTATTCTAAGGGTTTTATAGTCTTAGCTCCTACGTTCAGATCTCTGATCCATTTTGAGTTAATTTTTTGTATGCGGTGTTAGGACTGTCATTGGCCTTAACAGTCAAAATTCGTCATTAAATTCGTCATTTGTCATTTTTGAAATTTGCCAAAATCATTTGACCACGTGTGTGTGTGTGTGTTTATTTTTAGGCTCTCTGTTCTATTCTATTGGTCTATATGTCTGCCTTTATGTCAGTACATTGCTTTGATCACTATAGTTTTTTTGTTTTGTTTTTTGTGGTACATGGACCTCTCACTGTTGTGGCCTCTCCCATTGCGGAGCACAGGCTCTGGAAGCACAGGCTCAGTGGCCATGGCTCACGGGCCCAGCCGCTCCGTGGCATGTGGGATCTTCCCGGACTGGGGCACGAACCCGCATCCCCTGCATCGGCAGGCAGACTCTCAACCACTGCACCACCAGGGAAGCCCCGATCACTGTAGTTTTGTAGTAAGTTTTGAAGCTAATGGAGCTTCCCAGTTGGTGAACACATGGACGTACCAGGAGAACGATGTGTCCTGATTCCACAGAGAGAGGGCATGGAAGCTGTGTATCCAGGACCCTTCTGGATCTTGCCCTATCTGTAACCTTTATAATAAAACTTCAAGTGAAAGTATAGCACTGTCCTGAATTCTATGAGTCATTTTAGAGAATTGTCAAACCTGAGGTGGTCGTAAGATAAAACCCCTGAATCTATAGCCAGCTGGTTGGAAGTGAGGGTGGCTTGGGGACCCCTGGCTGGCCTCTGACATTGGAGCAGTCTTGTGAAGGACTCAGCCCTTTTGTGGGGTCTGACAATAACTTGGGTGGGTAGTATCATACTTGAGTTGGAGTCCACCCAGCTGGGGTGGAAACAGAACACTCTCGTGAGGTGTTGTAAAGATGCAATGAAATAATGAAGGTAAAAGTCAGCCCAGTGCCCTGCCCGCACTGAAAGCTTTGCAAATGGTAGCTCTTACATTTGATTGTCTTAACAAATTCTTCTTCTGTTTCTGTCAGTGGAAGGAGGGCTGAACACTAAGGCCCGTCGTGGCTTCTAGATGGCCACAAGGCCTCGAGGGGCCACATCTCCTCTTAGTCCTCTGTCTCCTTGTCTGTGAAATGAAGACACTGAACAAAATCTCTTCTAAGTTGGCCTCGGGCTCTATGAATCGGCATGCCAAATTCTACCGAAAAGTGTGCTTTTCAGTCTCAGAAAAAGAACATTCTATGGTACTCTGGGCTTCCTCATTAATAAAGAATTACAGGGCTTCCCTGGTGGCGCAGTGGTTGAGAGTCCTCCTGCCGATGCAGGGGACACAGGTTCGTGCCCCGGTCCGGGAAGATCCCACATGCCGCGGAGCAGCTGGGCCCGTGAGCCATGGCCGCTGAGCCTGCGCGTCCGGAGCCTGTGCTCCGCAACGGGAGAGGCCACAACAGTGAGAGGCCTGCGTACCCCCCCCCCAAAAAAAAGCATGGCCGTTCTCCAGGTGAGACTCCCGCAAACTGCAGGCAAGGCATCTGAAAAACCCAATGTTGTGGAGGCAGCTCCTGTCTTACACGGGAAAGTGTCTGTTCTCCCGGACTCGAGATAACGAGGTACCCAAGCAGCCGGGATCTGAGCAGGGCTCTTCTGCAGCCCATACGTGACGTCCGTCAGGGGGGCTCGTATGATTTTAAAACACCGCGCAGATCATCCAAGACTGAGTTGGGCTCTGCTGAGTGTGTTGAATATATTTCATCGCGTTCTGATCCTTCTAAGCCCGTAACTGTGAGCTCTTCAGATGCAGGAGGTCTACGCGCCCCTGTGAAGTGCTGTCTCCCCAGGTCACTACAAGCATCCCCTCCTCACCCTCCCAGTTCCTGTCACTCCTTTGCTGCCACCTGTCTCTTGCTCTCGTCTGGCTCCCTTGGGCCAATGCCTCAAAATCTTCTTTGCTTCCACTCCAGGCTCAAGGCTTACTTGGGGTCCACTTCCCTGCACAGCTGACCTGGGGCGCAGGACTGGGCCCACTCCTCACTGTGGAGGGAAGAGCGACCATCAGGCAATGGGGCTTCCCTCCGTCCTGGAAGGTTTAGTGGGGATGGGACAGTGGTTGTTTCCGCTGGTGACTATCCGGGCTCCCCCAAGCCATGCCTCAGATTCACACCGTGTTCCTACTCCGAGGATCTGAGATATCTTCTGGGGAAAAAAACCTGTTTACCAATGAGGAAGGGGCTTGGAGCCTACAGAGGGGAAAGGCCTGGCCCCAGCTTACATCTTCTACATGGGCAGGTGTGAGTTCCGGGGTCCCCAAGACCATCCTCAGGCTCAATAATTCTCTAGCAGTACTCACAGAACTCGGCAAAGCCGTTACACTTCCACGGGTACAGTCTATCCCAGGGAAAGGACACAGATGAAAGTCAGCAGTGGGGAGAGGCACCTAGGGCAGCGTCCAGGCGAGACCAGGCGTGAATATCCAGCTTCCTCTCCCAGTGCAGTCATGTGGACGGCCCCCAATCCTCCTACAACAATGTTCGACGGTGCTCACGGAGCGTTACCAACCAGAGATGCTCCCCTGAGCCTTGGGGTCCAGAGTTTTCATTGGGAGTTGGTCACGTAGACATCACTGCCGACCCACATGGCTGACCTTTGTCTGTGGTCCCTCCAGAGCCAAGCAGATGCCAGGCAGCCTGAGACACCCATGCATTGTGGGCACAGACTATCCAATGTGGCCCGAGGTCCCCAGGTAAACAGGCAGGACCTTCCAAGCCTTCAGACATGACCCCCCAGGAGTCAGCACCGAGGGTCAAACCTCTCTCTGGGTAAGGTT